GTTTATGAGCTACTTTGTTTCTGTCATTATGCAAGGCTTGTGTCTGTGCAAAACTATGTACATGTGGGTGGGCGCCTCGGCAAGGTACTGGTGTATAAGAGACTTGTGTATTAGGTGGTATTTAGTAGAAAAAAGGCATCTTGGTTTCGCTAGTGGAGTGGACTATCCCTGGGTTGGGCTTAGCCACCTTCACGGTCTTTTCGGAAACCCTATATTGGGGTCAATGGCCGCCATCAACACTTCCGAGGTGGGACCTGTGCAGGTGTTCAGGCAGGGTGTGCAGGAAGTTGCCTTGGTTCTTGGGTATGCGTTGGGGTGTTCCCAGAGGTATTGTATGTATACCATTTATGAAGCCTGGTTCGTACTCCACCAGGACTCCCTTTGTCCCCCCCAATCTCTCCTATCCCTCCAGGTCTGTGGTGTCATCAGTCCTATAGGTGTTTAGTCTGGCAATACATCTTTGGATCCCTTGGTGGGTGCGTGAGCTAGTCCTAGCCATATTTTCATAGTCTAAGTTAGTGGTGAGTTGTTGAGTAGTGGTGAGGGCCTGCTTGGAGGGAACATATGTGGATTTCCACACTCTGGCCATGAGCGTGAGTGCTGCAATAAGCGCGTGGTATATTAGGGTAGCGTCATCTTTGGGGAAGTCATTAAGATCTAAAAACAGCAATGCTAACGTGGGGCTGAGCTTCATATGTGTGTCTAATAGCTCTGAAAGTGTGTTCTCGACCATCGCCCAAAAGGGGTGAGTACATGGACATGTCCACCATATGTGGTACATAGTGCCAGGTTCTGCGTGGCATCTCCAGCATTTGTTTGATGTCCCTGGGTATATGTGTGCGAGTCTTGATGGCACCATGTACCACCTGTAGTAAAGTTTTCTCATAACCTCTAGATGGGATGCACATAGTGTTCTGCCTTTACGAGCTTGGAACGCCGTACGCCAGCGTGTTGGGGTTATGTCCGTTTTGAGGTCAGTTTGCCATAGTGTCCGGTATTTTTGTGAGTCCCTGTGGTCTGTTTGGTTTAGTAGTTTGTAAATGCTGGAAAGCGTTTTTTGGGGGGTATGCTCTGCCGTGCATGCTCGTTCACCTTCTTTAGAACTAGATAGCATCTATTTAAGTTGGAGGTAGGAGAAAAGCACTCTGGGGGCCAAGTTATACGTGGTTTGCAGGTCTGGGAATGCTCGTAGTTTACCGTTAAGGAATAGATGATGTATGTGAGTGCATCCTTGTCCTGTCCATGAGTGGTAATTAAAGAAGGGGTTTAGTACTTGGATACTCAGCGGAGCGGCCTGCGACCACCGGTTGCCGCCGCACAAGAGAAGTCTTGCCCCGTCCCACACCCGCACCAGCGTTCTCGTGGTGGGGAGCATGTTTACTCTTTCTGGCTGTAGGGTCTTTGGGACCCAAAGGAGGTAGTTTGGATTTGGTACTTGTGCCCAGTATGATTCTATAGCTATCCACTGTGGAGGATCCCTGTGAACTAGTGCGCCCACCCCTGAGGAAAGTAACGCCACCTGGTAGTAAAGCTTGAGGTTTGGCAGGCTAAGGCCACCTTCCTCCACTGGGCTATGAAGGATTCTAGTGGCAACCTTCGCCCTCTTGCCCTCCCATATAAATTGCATCAAAAGTTTCTGTGTAGTGTTGATATAAGATTGTGGGATGTGAATTTGAAGGGTACGGAACAGGTATTGAAGCTTTGGAAAAAGGAGCATCTTTACTGCTGCCATCCAGCCACAATATATATTTCCCCTCCCATGAGGCTTCTATGTCCTTGCCTAGCCTAATATAATTAAGGTGGAACAGATTGTCTGGATTCTGGGTGATCTGAAGTCCTAGGAAGGACACAAAGTCCAACCTCCAGTCTAACTGGAATGTTTGCTGTATTTTAGCTAGGAGTGCAGGGGGGACGACTATGCCCAATTAGTGATGTCCCGAACGGTTCGCGAACGGTTCGCCACGGACTCATCATTGAGTAAACTTTAACCCTGTACCTCACAGTCAGCAGACACATTCCAGCCAATCAGCAGGAGACCCTCCCTCCCACGTCCTGGACAACTCACTAAGAATGCAGCTTCAAAATGGATGCTGTCCAGGAGGTGGGAACTTTACGAGTGTTCTCTGATCCTTGTCTGCCCGCCACAAATCCCACTTGGTCCGAGTGTATAAGATGGGGCAAAACCCTCCCCAACCTCAGAGCAAACAGTTTGGCAAAAAGTTTTGCGTCCGTGTTCAGGAGTGAGATTGGTCGGAAATTTTGTGGCTGGGTCGGGGGCTTGCCCGGCTTAGGTAGTGTAACTATATGAGCCATGAGTGAGTCTTTATGTAGGGCTTGTCCAGCTACCGCTTCGTTAAAAATCTGTGTGAGCTGGGGTGCTAGGATGTTACAGTAGGTTTTATAGTAAGAGTTATTGAATCCGTCTGTGTAAGAATATTAAATAGTTTCCTTGTTTATATGTATTTTATGCTTTTATAAGGTTTATAACATGATTATTGCTGACTGAAGGAATATTGAATACTTAAACTCAATATACGACATAATGCTGACTGTGACAGACTAAGGTATTTCTTCTATAGGATGTAAGACAATGCTAAATTTCAGGATGTCTTGCCCATTCCGATTTTAAGGATATTCTTTTCCAGACGTATGCAAAAGCTTATCTTTCCATTGTCAGAATAACGTAATATAAGGAAGTAATAAATCTTATAGTCTGTACTGTATTTGCATATACCATGGCTAATGTAAGCAAACTATGTATAAAAGCCAGCTCTGGAATACACTCATTTGAGAGTCTTGTAAAGCTGTTGTCCGTGTGTTATTGCTTACAATGATCCTCCATCAACGTTGATTATGGTGACCGAGGGATCGAGAACCGAGGGGATTAGAGTCCATTACAACATTAACCCTTTCAGCTTGGTGTTAGAAGTGGGATAGAAGTTGGATCAGCAAAACCATTTGCGGTGAGTAGCCTTTTTGTGTCTTATTGACGCTGATTGTCTATGACCCCCGTTTGGTTCAGTAAGACTGTATCCAGTAGATAGGAAAGGTGTAAGGACTCTAGTTATATTGAGACTATAAGAGGTCTCCGGTTTATTAGACATTTGGTCTAAATATATATAGGGTTTTGGTAACCCAGGTTAGTATCTAAGATAGATACAGGTTTTTGAGACCATAAGAGGTCTCCGGTTTATTATAGGGTTTTGGTAACCCAGGTTAGTATCTAAGATAGATACAGGGTATCTCAGGTAGATACAGGTTTTTGAGACCATAAGAGTCTCCGGTTTATTAAGTCTATAGGTGTTCTGAGCAGCACGGTTTGTAGATCTATAAGTATAACCCAAACTTCTCTTTCTCCCGGTCACCTTTGTTTGTCTTAAGTGTTCTTTGTGGGTGATTGTTTGTCTATATTGGGGACACACTTTGGTAAGTTAGTAGTGTCCCCACTCTGAGTCAGCAGTATGGGAAATGTGAGTTCATGTCCTGAGTGACCAATATATGTATGTATATATGTGTATATGTATGTATATATGTGTGTGTATATGTATATGTGTATATATAAGATAGCAGTACTTTTAAACAAATGGAGGTTTTAAAAAAAATACATAGGGATTAAGGAGAGAATGCAGGTAACTTGTTTTTCTTTGTTTTTTTACCATATATTGGGGCTGATGTGTACTGTAGTCCTTGCTGCTGCCCAGTAGTGATGGGAGTGAGCGCAGGACTTATCTTTCTGCAAGATAGCAGTACTGTATATTAGAAAAGAAATGACTCATAGGTTGTACCTGATAGACCTACTTAAATCTTTTTACTTTATTCTGTCACATAGAAGTATAAGTTTATTACTCTGTTTTATTGTAAGTTATTTCACATGGGAACTGTGTGCCTGGTATGATTGTTGCTTTAAAAATACTATAAGCCCACTACACTTATTATGAGAGTGGGATAGTGTAAATGTGTTACATTGTTTGCATGATGAGCTCAGTATATTTTATAACTGAGACAAAAAGTCACTTCAGTATTTGGAAGTTAATTCCCCATATGGGATTAATTGTATAGAAACACCAATCAGCACATCTTCCCTGCCCTGTGTGTTTGTTGCAAAGGATCCATACTGTAAATATGATTTTTGTTTGAAAATAACAGAGCAACATTTACATTTTCAGCGGTCCAACACATGCTTTATTTTGCACTGTAAACTAACCTTTTTATTGCAACAGGTTCCTTTTAAATGATCCAGTGTAATAACTACTGCTTGTGTCTTCTATGTCTCACATTATGTGTTCTTTTAAATTGTGGTATATAGCCTGAATCAGACATCATGGACAAAGGTTTTTACCTGTGTTACTAAGGGCTCTTGGAGACTGACCGGTCTAAAGGTTTGCCATGCCTTTAAAACATGGTATAGTATAAATTTTTTAAGTCTCTGAGAGTTCTGAAAGATTCAGGTGAAACCATGTCTGTTTAATCTGGTCCAGATGTTTGTTCAATTTCTATAGGATTTAAGTTGATGCAGCATCATCTCAGATTAGTTAATGGAAGTTTTAGACAAATAGTTGAGTTATGAGCGCGCTATATAAATGGATCCTTTCTTTAAATACAATACTATAGTAGATTAAAGTAATGAAGTTAATTAAGAAAATGTATACATAAGAATCCCTAAAATAAATCTAAACTAAAATTGGTATACCTTCCAATAATATGTTCTGAATACAGCTGTTAACTCTTTATTTTGTGTAAATGGTGATTGTGATAATGTGTGATAAGTGTGCAG